TGTGCTTTTTCATTTTGGAAAATTATGCAAAATTTTGGAACAATTTAGAATCTCTTCCAATCTCCCAAGAGGCAGAGAATGAGAATTACAATCTTCTCTACAAATTGTGTTACCATTGCTATTAGTTTAAGTTTAATTCCCGGATCAAATACCTTTCCTGCTACTGAATGTTTTGAACATAAACATAGAATTTAGTAATATTCTGCTTTGTTCCCCTCCAATGATTGTAATGACTAATGAAATCTACCAAATTCCACTAATGAAATCTACCAAATTCCAATAGCTGAAGTTATGAAATCTCTGAATATCCCTAAAGGAGTACGTCGCGTGCTTTTCAAAACACTTAATACTGACAGGTATGATTTTATATCAATGTTTATATTTGTGGCTTTTCAACTTGCACATGATTACTTTGAAATTGAACCATTTGTCTCAAGAGGTTGAGCTGATTCAGTAAATTACATGCTAACATGTTCTTAGTTCTTGTTTAGGCAGTTGATGCACAAAACGCAGTTTCATTCAGATTTTACTGCGTTCATGGAGGATGGGGCAAAGTGGTTGGTAGAAAACACAAACATCAAACTTGTTGGTATGATGGACATTTTGACTATATATCTAAAGGGCTTATATAGGGGAAACCGTTTTTAACTTCATATATTAGAACAATTCCATTTATACTTATCAGCTACGTCTCTTGTTTTTAATGAAATTAAGTTCAACAAATTTGATGAAATTGTACCTAGCGCTCTGAAAACAATCAAAAACTTTATGCAATCCCTTTTCTCTGTTCTATTCTTTTGAAATGCTAATGTCTGTGTCAATACTTGTCTGATTATAGGGCTTGATTACCTATCTGTTGCTGCATATGTTGATGCCGCCCCAGTACATTATGCATTTCTGCGGAATAGGGTAAGAAAACCAAAATGTGTCTCACTGTTTATGTCATACATATCTATTTGGGGCATTCTTTATGCTGGTTTGAGAGAAATATGTCAAGATAAATGCAATGCTAACACTCCTAAAATGGTTTAGGAAATCATTCCACTTGAAGGCCTAAATCTGGATGACATCCAACCAGGAAGATATAGTCTCCATTGCCTCCCTCTAAAGATGGTTGGTGCTGATGCATGTCCAACAAGATGCATTCTCATTTAAGATAGAAACTTTGGTTGAGAAGTAACTGTAAAACAGGGCTATAAAATTGCTCCAGGAGATGAATAATAGCTCCAGAAGGTATAGAATGGATCAAACTGCTTCTGGACATCTGTGTGCTTATATTTGAATCCATCGAACTTTTGTAAGAAGCTAGTATCTTACAAAGGTTGATGTCTGGCAACCATGGGTGGTGGAGATTCACAGTTATATTTATGAATTATGTTGAGCTTCAATTTTGTGGGCGTTAGTTGTGAGCTAACGAACAGATTTGTTGGCTACATAAAACAAAACTGGTCATTGGCTACGTACTACTTCGAACCAAGGTTTCATTTTGTCGGTAATGTTTTGTACCGTGCTTTATATATATTCTTTTTC